CGATTTTTCATTTTTGGGGTTTTCTGGGTCAATTTTTTCATTTTTGTGCTGATTTCCTCTCATTTTGGTTTTTTTTTAATGGCGATTTTTCATTTTTTGGGGTTTTCTGGGCCGATTTTCCCATTCCCGGGGCCGATTTTCCCATTCCCGGTGCCCATTTTCCCATTCCCGGGGCCCATTTTCCCATTCCCGGGGCTGATATTTTCATTTTTTGGGGTTTTCTGGGCCGATTTTCCCGTTCCCGGTGCCCATTTTCCCGTTCCCGGTGCCCATTTTCCCGTTCCCGGTGCCCATTTTTCCCATTTTTCCCCGTTTTTGGTGTTTTTTGGCTCTCGCAGTGGGGCAGTTCTATTTCCTGATCCGGAAGAGGATTCACCTGCGCGCCGAGGACGCTCTGTTCTTCTTCGTCAACAACGTCATCCCCCCCACCAGCGCCACCATGGGACAGCTCTACCAGGTCCCCGAAACCCCAAAAACGCCCCAAAACACCGGGAAAAATCGGGGGAATCCTGGGGAAAACGGGGGGAATTCTGGGGGAAAATGGGGAGAATTCTGGGGGAAAATGGGGGGAATTCTGGGGGAAAATCGGGGGAATTCTGGGGAAAAATGGGGAGAATTCTGGGGGAAAATGGGGAAATTCGCGGGGAAAATCGGGAGAATTCTGGGGAAAAATGGGGAAATTCCCGGGGAAAAATGGGGAAAACTCTGGGGGAAAATGGGGAGAATTCTGGGGGAAACGGGGAGAAATCTGGGGGAAAATGGGGAAAATTCTGGGGAAAAATGGGGAGAATTCCGGGGAAAAATCGGGAAAATTCTGGGAAAAAATGGGAAGAATCCCGGGAAAAAATGGGGAGAATTCTGGGGAAAAATGGGGAGAATCCCGGGGAAAAATGGGGAGAATTCTGGGGAAAAATCGGGATGATTGGGGGATAAAAATGGGGGGGAAAAAGTCAAAGAAAGGGTTAAAAAGGGGGCTTGGAAATCTGGGGAGGGTCCTAAAATATCCTGGAAAAAATTTGGGGGAATCCTGGAAAAAAATTTGGGAGAATCCCGAAAAATTCGGGAAATTTGAGGTTGGGTGGGGGGGAAAATTTGGGATTGGGGGGTGGGGTTAAAATCCCAAAATATTTTTGGAAAAAGCCCCAAATATTTTGGGGAATTGGGGAAAAATTGAAAAAATCAAAAAACGGTGAAAGGAGGAGAAGAGGGAACCCAAAATCCCGGGGGGTGATCCCTGAGGGGAAAATGCGGGAATTTGGGGAATTTCTCAATCCGGGTTGGGAATGGACGGAAATGGGAATTTGCCGTTGTGGTTTCGCGGTGTTTTTAACCCTTGAATTCTCGGTTCGCAGGAACACCACGAGGAGGATTTCTTCCTTTACATCGCCTACAGCGACGAGAGCGTGTACGGGGCCTGAGGCGGCGCTGCCCGCGGGGCTCTCCCGGTGCTTCCCGCCCCCGCCTTTGCCGTTTCTCCCCCCCATTTTTCCCCTCCCCGGTTTCTTTTTCCCGCCCCCTCCCCCTCCCCAAAATAAAAAGCGACGGAGCCGCCTCAGGGCCTGGACCGGAAGTGGGCGTGGCTTTACGGGGAAGGGCGCGTGCGCGGCGCGGAGGGGGCGTGGTTTGCGTGGTGAGGTCATGTGCGCCGGGCGCCAAGTGTGGGTGCGAGGGGCGTGGTTTGCATAATGAGAGCGTCGCGCGTGCGCACAAAGTGCGCGCCGGGGAAGGCGTGGCTTGCATAATGAGGCGCGTGCGTAGGGCGGCAGATTTGGGTGGGAGAGGGCGTGGCTTGAACGCTGCTGTGTGCGCATGCGGAGAAAGCGAAGTGAGGGAGGGGAGAGAGCGTATTTGCATACCGGACCGTGTGCGCATGCGTTAAAGTCGAAACAGGACACAAAGGGGCGTGGTTTGCATAATGAGATACGCACAGAGGGAAACGAGCCGGGAGGGGGCGAGGCTTATTTAATTAGAGAGGTGCGCATGCGTACAAAGCAAAGTGAGTGCGAGAGGAGCGTTTGGCGCCCAAAGAAGGGCGGGGCTTCGCCAAGGGGTGGAGTCCGCGCATGCGCGCAGATGTGAAGGGGCGGGGTTTGCGCGGCGGGGGCGGGGCCTGGCGGGGGCGGCGCGGAACGAGGCGGCACCGGACGGAGCGGGCGCGGAACCGGGGGGGGCCCGGCGGGGCCGCGGCCATGGCCGAGCCCGGAGGTACCGGGCCGGGAGGGGACGGGCACGGGGCACGAGCGGGAGCGGGGGAGTCCCGGAACCGGCGGAGTCCCGGAACCGGCGGGGTTGGAGACCTGGGAGCGGCGGTACCGGGGGAGCTCGAAGCCGGTACCGGGGGGAGCTGGAGGCCGAACCGGAGGGGGTTTGGAGCCGGTACCGGGAGGAGCTGGACACCGAACGGGGGGGGGGCGGTTTGGAGCCGATACCGGGGGGAACTGGGGCCGGTACCGGAGGGGTTTTGGAGCCGGTGCNGGAAAAAGCCCCAAATATTTTGGGGAATTGGGGAAAAATTGAAAAAATCAAAAAACGGTGAAAGGAGGAGAAGAGGGAACCCAAAATCCCGGGGGGTGATCCCTGAGGGGAAAATGCGGGAATTTGGGGAATTTCTCAATCCGGGTTGGGAATGGACGGAAATGGGAATTTGCCGTTGTGGTTTCGCGGTGTTTTTAACCCTTGAATTCTCGGTTCGCAGGAACACCACGAGGAGGATTTCTTCCTTTACATCGCCTACAGCGACGAGAGCGTGTACGGGGCCTGAGGCGGCGCTGCCCGCGGGGCTCTCCCGGTGCTTCCCGCCCCCGCCTTTGCCGTTTCTCCCCCCCATTTTTCCCCTCCCCGGTTTCTTTTTCCCGCCCCCTCCCCCTCCCCAAAATAAAAAGCGACGGAGCCGCCTCAGGGCCTGGACCGGAAGTGGGCGTGGCTTTACGGGGAAGGGCGCGTGCGCGGCGCGGAGGGGGCGTGGTTTGCGTGGTGAGGTCATGTGCGCCGGGCGCCAAGTGTGGGTGCGAGGGGCGTGGTTTGCATAATGAGAGCGTCGCGCGTGCGCACAAAGTGCGCGCCGGGGAAGGCGTGGCTTGCATAATGAGGCGCGTGCGTAGGGCGGCAGATTTGGGTGGGAGAGGGCGTGGCTTGAACGCTGCTGTGTGCGCATGCGGAGAAAGCGAAGTGAGGGAGGGGAGAGAGCGTATTTGCATACCGGACCGTGTGCGCATGCGTTAAAGTCGAAACAGGACACAAAGGGGCGTGGTTTGCATAATGAGATACGCACAGAGGGAAACGAGCCGGGAGGGGGCGAGGCTTATTTAATTAGAGAGGTGCGCATGCGTACAAAGCAAAGTGAGTGCGAGAGGAGCGTTTGGCGCCCAAAGAAGGGCGGGGCTTCGCCAAGGGGTGGAGTCCGCGCATGCGCGCAGATGTGAAGGGGCGGGGTTTGCGCGGCGGGGGCGGGGCCTGGCGGGGGCGGCGCGGAACGAGGCGGCACCGGACGGAGCGGGCGCGGAACCGGGGGGGGCCCGGCGGGGCCGCGGCCATGGCCGAGCCCGGAGGTACCGGGCCGGGAGGGGACGGGCACGGGGCACGAGCGGGAGCGGGGGAGTCCCGGAACCGGCGGAGTCCCGGAACCGGCGGGGTTGGAGACCTGGGAGCGGCGGTACCGGGGGAGCTCGAAGCCGGTACCGGGGGGAGCTGGAGGCCGAACCGGAGGGGGTTTGGAGCCGGTACCGGGAGGAGCTGGACACCGAACGGGGGGGGGGCGGTTTGGAGCCGATACCGGGGGGAACTGGGGCCGGTACCGGAGGGGTTTTGGAGCCGGTGCTGGAAGAGTTTGGGGGCCGGTGCCCGAGGGAACTACAGGCGGTACCGGGGGGGGGATTTGGGAGCCGGTACCGGAGGGGTTTGGAGCCGGTACCGGAGGGGCTTAGAGCCGGTACCAGGGTGATTTGGAGCCGGTACCAGGGTGATTTGGAGCCGGTGCCGAAGGGGTTTGGAGCTCTCCGAGTCCCGGTATCGGGCCCGGAGGGAGCGGCAGCAGCGGGACCGGAGAACTAAGGGAAGGAGGGGGGGGAGTTTGGGACCAGTACCGGGGGGGGATTGGAGGCTCCGGAGCGCCGGTTCCGATCCCGGGGAGGCTCCGGTGCCGGTCCCGGTGTGACCCCCCCGTCCCTTCCCGTTCCACAGAAGCGCTGGCGCCGCTGAAAACCGAACCGCAGGTGAGGGGGGGCACCGGGAGGGGAGCGGGGACGGGGATTCCCCCTCTGCTCAGGCCTTTCACCCTTCCCGGTGCTCCCGGGAGGGGTCCCGGGGGTTTCGGGGGGCTTAACGGAAAAGTCCCGGTGTTCACCGTGTCCCCCCCCCTCCCCCCGCTCGGTTCCCGGTACCGGCAGCCCCCGGAAAAGCGGCGGAGGACGATCGAGGACTTCAATAAGTTCTGCAGCTTCGTGCTGGCCTACGCCGGGTACATCCCGGCGGCCGCCGAGGTAACGGGGGAGGCACCGGGAGGGCACCGGGGGTTACCGGGTGGTACCGAGGAGGCAGCGGGCGGGTCGAGGGAAGCACCAGGAAAGCCGCGGGGGTACCAGGAGGGATCGCGGGGGTACCGGGTGGGCACCCAAGGGCGGCGGGAAGTACCGGAGGGGCCACCGGGAGAACACCGGGAGGTACCGGAGGGGCGCCGGGAGGTCGCGGGGAAGGACCGGACAGGGGTGGAAGGGGACGGGAGATTTTTGGGAGGTTTTTCCCGGTCCTTAACCCTCCCCCCCTTAGCCCCCCCCGGTTCCCCCCGGGCCCCGCCGCCGCCCCGGCAGCTCCCGGCGTGCCCCGCGCGGCCCCGCCTGATTGACAGCGAGCTAAGCCCCGCCCCTCCCTCGCTTTCCGCCAATCGCGCGGCGCCCTTCCCTAAACCACGCCCACAGCGGGGAGATCCCTGAGTTGGAAGCCCCGCCCACTCGCCGGGACCAATGGCGGCGCATTTTGCGTGGCCACGCCCTCTGCGCGCCGCCGGGGATGCTGGGAGATGTCGGCGGTGCTTGATTAGGGGACTACAAGTCCCGGCGTGCCTTGCGCGGTGCCGCCGCCTTGAGGGGGGATTTTAGGGGGGGATTTTTGGGGCGGATTTTGGGGGTCCTGGGGTGGATTTGTGGCAGGATTTGAGGATCCTGGAGTGAATTTTGGGGTGGATTTGGGGGTGAATTTGAGGGTCCTGCATTAGATTTTAGGGGGTCCTGGGTTGATGTTGGGGTCCTACGTTGTTGGGGGTAAATTTGGTTGTCTCGAGGGAGAAATTGGGGTTTTTTGATGGGTTTTGGGGTAAATCTGGGATTCCTGAGTTGGGTTCTGGGGTAAATTTGAAGCTCCTTGGTCGGGTTTTGCCCATCCTGAGTTGGATTTGGGTGCAAATTTGGGATTCCTGAGTTGGATTTTGGGGTAAATTTGAGGCTCCCGGGTGGGATTTTGCCCATCCCGGGTCGGATTTTGGGGTAAATTTGAGGCTCCCTGGTCGGGTTTTGCCCATCCCGGGTTGGATTTTGGGGTAAATTTGGGATTCCCGGGTTGGATTTTGGGGTAAATTTGAGGTTCCCGGGTTGGGTTTTGGGGTAAATTTGGGATTCCCGGGTTGGATTTTGGGGTAAATTTGAGGTTCCCGGGTCAGGTTTTGCCCACCCCGGGTGGGATTTTGGGGTCCCGGCTGGAATTTTGGGGTCCCCTGATCCTTTTCCCCTATTCCAGGACCCCCCCTGGCCCTCGTCCGGGCCCAGCTCGCCCCGTCCGGCCGGGGGCGACGCGTGGGGCTCGGCGCCGGCCGCTCTGCGCACCATCGAAACCTTCGTCCGCAAAGCCAAATCCTCCAAAAAACGCGCCCTGGCGCCGCCCGAATCCAACATCCTGGACAAAATGCGCCTCAAGGACTCCCTGTTCGACATCCCCGCCCCCCAAAACACGCCGGGACCACCGCCCCAAAAACGCCGCGAGCGCCGGAACCGCCGGGGGGACTCGGGCATCGGCGGCGGCTCCCGGGGCGGCCGCGAGAACTCGCGGATCCGAGTCAAGAAGAGCAAGAAGCGGCGCTGGAAAAAAGGGGAGAGGGGGATTTTGGGGAGGGGGTCTCCCAGCGAGGAGACGGATTCCGAGGAGGAGCCGCCCTCCCCTCCCCCGCCGCCGCCGCCGCCCCCTCCCCTGCCCCCCGAGGGGGGGAAATTGGGGGTGCTGGGGGGTCCCGGGGGGGTTCTGGGGGTGGGCAAGGAGGGGGGGAGCACGGAGACGAGCAGGGACGGCGACGGCAGCGACAGCGAGGGCGACGCCAGGGTCATGGACGAGGACATCATGGTGGAGTCGGGTGAGCTTGGGGGGAATTTGGGGGAAATTTGGGGGTTTAGGGGTCCCTAGGGGGAATTTAGGGGTCCTGGAGG